GGTGAAGGTTTTTTTTTTTTTAGAAAAACACTGGTGGGATTAGGTCGGACCCCCTGTATATCTACATAGAAAGGTCATAAATGGTCATAAATGGGTTGAAATGTCACAAATCTACAAAATCAATGTCTGAAATACATCAAGTTGAAAATCGAAACTAAAACAAAAAAGAAAAAGAAAACAAGAGAAGGCTAGAAACTAAAACAAAAAAGAAAAAGAAAACAAGAGAAGGCTAGCTACAACTGCATTAACACAAGGAAAACGTCTCATGATCCGGAAAGAGTTCAAGCAAAAAGTCAGCGTTTCGGGGAACAAATGCACTAAAAGGTGGGACTGACTATACAAATATAAATGAAGGGTATCTCATCTAAATCAGTAAAAGGGCACATGGTCAATCGGAGTAGTTAGAAGATGATGGTGATAAATCGTACGTTCAGACATTTTATTAACTCCAAAATAGAGAAGCAAGACAACATATACATCCGCAAACACCTCCTAGTTGACATTACACATACACGTTGGGACCCACCCGAGGCCCCCTTCATTTATTTCCAACACTCGTGATTTTTCTTTCACTTCACATAACTGATTTGATGACGTCCATGGCCACTTCGAACGCCCTTGGCCTGCTGCTGCGACCGCTGAAAACCGTGGACTCCTCGCGCCCGTACTTGAGCTTCTTGGCGTCCTGCCTCGAGATTCTGTAGGCATTCATGAGCACCTCCTCCGGTATCCCCCGGATTGCCGACAGCCGGCCCGCCAGCTGGCTGGTGACGGCATTGTCATTTGTCTTGAATGCAATCCACTCAAGCCCTTCCTCCTCGCTCGCCCTCTTCACCACCACGTAGTTCTGTGGCACGATTATCAGTTGTCCTTGCCTTACCTCTCCGTCGAACACTGACTTCCCTGCCTGCCCCACCACCTGGAACCTCCCTCCACCCCTCGTGATATAGATTATCGAGTGGGCGTTCACGTTCCAGTGTGGCGCCACCACAGCGTTCTGCGCACGCAAGATTTGTTAGAATAAGTTCAATATAGTTAAGAGAGTTAAGCTGATGAAATATTTATTTAAGAGTAACGCTATAGTACATAATGTTGTACATAACATTCATATTGAGTGGGACCCACTAAAATTAAAAAATCAAGTGGACCCCACTCACAGTGGACCCCACTCCGTGTGAGTGTTATGTACAATCTTTATGTACATTTATTATGTACATGTAGCATTTTTCTTTATTTAATTTACTCTGTAGAGGATGCCCTTTTCGGCGCTGAGGCGAAGCCAACTGAGGATGGGTAGCTTCTGGCTGTTGAGGGTGGTGATGCGTCCGCCTCGTGGGTTGTACACGTCAGCGTGTGCGGGCGAGTCTATGTTCGTCTTCAATTTCTTGGTGCACAAAGTCTCCTCGAGCCCGTTTCCCTCGCGCATGCGCTCCTCCTCTAGTCCTTCCTCGGGTAGGACGACGTTGAACCTCTCGGCCCGCACGATTTGGCCTCTTTGGTCGTTTTGGCCCTTGAGGTTCCGCGCGGTTTTGGTGTCGATGTTGAAAATCTCGGCTAGGAGTTGGTCATCAAACGAGCTGAAGATGTTGCTCCGGTCGGATTCTTCCTGTTGTTGCTGCCCTTTCTGGCCCTGGGGCCCGCCTCGTGGGTTCCCAGCTAGGAAGAAGTTCTACCCAAAAGTAGAATAAAGATAAAAATCATGTATCTTAAACTTAGTGTCTGGAGCAATACGCAAATATTGTGTGAATTGCATGGATACCCTGAATTTTTGGTCGAGTTGGTTGATCTCATTCCCGGTGTCGAGAAGGGCAACGGTGATGAGGGGCTCGTCTCCGTTGTTGTAAAACCAGAGAGTTAGGCCAGCTGGCAATGCAAGAACATCACCTTGTCTGAACTGTCTCACCTTCTGGTGTCGGTCCGTAAACCTACTCCCCTCACCTGTGTACCGCGATTGGCTGCCCGATTCGTATGTCTCGGCACACCCCGGAATCACAGTCCCCTGAATTCCCTTGCCTGCAAATTTAGAATATAAGAATTTCAGCATCAAATTTGTAGCAAAAACAAAAAAAAAAAAAAAATTAAAAGAAGAATTATATAAGTAAGTGGTGGTCTAGCCTTGGACTACGTAGAGTATCTGGGGCGCATTGTTGTAGTGTGGAAGCAAAAGGCCTTTGGGCTCGATATAGTTCCGGACGGCAGCAACCCCAGCACACTCAAACTGTTGGTTGTTACGGTCCCAGAATTCGGTCCGGCCCGCTTCGGACTCGAACTTCAGGGTGGGCTCCTGGGCTGTGAGCCGGTCTACCCGGCAGTCAGTCCGGGCCTGAAGCCTGTGCTGCTGCTGGCTTTGGAGGTTTTGCCACAGAAACTGCTGATCGCCAAGTGAGAGGCAGCCGTTGATGAGGAAAGCCGCGAGGACGATGCTAAGAGGAATCCAAGAATTTCGAGCCATTTTTTATTTATTTACTATATATATATATGTGTGTGTGCGCTAACCTTTTTATGTTGATACGAAGATGGGGAAGCTAAGGGGGGCGATTTATAAGAATTATTGGCGGGGTTTTGGGGTTTACACGTACGAAGAGAGGGTGGGAGTTGAGTGACATTTGGCCTATTGCATGGGATTTTGTTTTGTAATGGGAAACGAGGTCGCATGCATGCTTACACCTAAGTGTGTTGGGTAGGGTATGTGGCGATCCGTGTTGTGGTGGTACGTTGAGGGCTTCCACGTGTTTGGATCGATTTGTGACTTTCGTGCGTGAATTTTTATGTAGTGACTAGTGATGTAAAAGCATAGTTTTTTGGCGCGAACCGACCCAGCGGGTCGACTTGGAGATAGAACCGATATGAGTCGGTTATTCGAACTGATGAGTGACAAAGGATTCGATCAAACCGGTCAGTCTAGCTTTGACCCGGTCGATCAGGGGCATTGAATCCGGTCGGGTCAATGAATGACCTAGGTAATAGTGGACTTGGTCAAACCGATCAAAACCCGGTCAACCTAGCCTTGATCCAGTCGACATCTGGCACTGATCTGACTGGGCCAATGAATTGACTCGGCCCTTGTAATTTTTTTATTTTTAAAATATTTATATATATTTATATGGTAAATATTTTTTATGGTATATAATAGTATTAAAACTTTGAGGTATAAAATTTGTATACAAAACATTTGATTTTGTTACTTTTATGTACATTTAGAATTTTAAAATTTAAAAATCAGTTATCCACGGATTCATCAATTAACTTGGTGATCCGAAGACCTGTCTGGATCGATTTACAGGCCGTATATAAAATTATGGGTAAAAGTATGGTGTAGTATACGTCTAAATTTGGAAGTGGTAGGGAGACGAAAATATAAAAATAATCCCACAATTATTAAGGGAAAAAAAAAAGTAAGGATAAGGCTACAGTCCTATTATGGAGCCATTCTGTTGGGATCTTTAACCGTTATATGAGACTACATTAAAAAATCCATTATAGTCTACAACATAAGTAACATTAGGTAGTAGTGAAAAAGTTTTACCTAATAGTCATAAAATGATACTATAGTAAAAAAGCAACATTTTCCTTATGTTGTATCTGCTCATGTTACCTATTGTCAAAGGTATCACTTTTGAGAGTTTTTTATAACACTTCTCCAAGTGTTACATTGGGTTATCAATTGTAACACTTTAAAGTAACACTTCTAAGATGTTACATATAGAACTTTAAGTATCACATTTTCACCAAATGCAATATTTTATTAAGGATTTATCTTTGATTGTATGGTAGCACTTTACACCATAATTGCGTCATAGTAAACCTTTTACCATATCACTTAGAAATTTTTGTATCACTTTAGATTATCAAATGGCGTTATGTTTAGAATGATTATGTAACACTTACTAATAATAATATGATTATATA